ATAAAAATAATAACAATAACGATGACAGTGATGATGATGATGATCATGAAAAACCAAAGCTAAAGAAAACAACACAACCAATGAACGAATAACAAAAAAAAAGAAGTGCAACCCCCCCGCACCTCCCACCCCCACCTTACACACGCCCCCCCCTATCCCCACAGCACCGCCCCCCCCCCATCTCCACAGCATCATCCGTCCCAACGCAAATTAAGCCTTCGACCTCATCACCTGCGACCGAGGAGGCTCTCATGACCTGTTACAAAGGACGACCTCGTGATCGGCCTCTCCGCACGCCCCCCTTTCCCCCCTCCCCCCCATGAGTATCCCTCTTGTCCCCGCCGCCCGACAAAGAACAGCCTGGATGTGGTCGTTTAGGTGATTTTCCGCCCTTCCCCCCCTCCTCTCTCGTTCTCTCATTCTCTGTCTCATTCTCTCTTTCTCTCGCTCTCTCACTCTCTCAATCTCTTTTTCTCTCTCTCTCTTTTTTCTGTACCTGTTGCTCTGTTTCTCATGTTCGTTCTCTCTCTCTGAATTTCTTCTTCATCTTCTTCTCTCTCTCTCTCTTTCTTTCTCATTTTCTCTCTCTCTCTCTCTCGCTCACTCTCTCTGTGCACTGTGCTGTTTAGCGCAGCGGTAGCGATCTCGTCTAGCGATCTCGTCTAGCAATCTTGCTGACCTGCGTTCAAATCCCTCGCCACTCCTTACACACTGGGAATAACTTAGAAGCAAAATAAAAGAGACACTATATCACACCAAGAATAACCATTGTAACAAATAGAATCAAATTAGACCTATAAAAAAACTTTAACCTCTCTCTGAATCTCCTCTTCTTTCTCTCTCTCTGAATCTCCTCTTCTCTCCCTCTCCCTCTCCCTCTCTCTCTCTGAATTTCTTCTCTCTCTCTCTCTCTGAATTTCTTCTCTCTCTCTCTCTCTCTCTGAATTTCTTCTCTCTCTCTCTCTCTGAATTTCTTCTCTCTCTCTCTCTCTGAATTTCTTTTCTCTCTCTCTCTCTGAATTTCTTCTCTCTCTCTCTCTCTGAATTTCTTCTCTCTCTCTCTCTCTGAATTTCTTCTCTCTCTCTCTGAATTTCTTCTCTCTCTCTTTCTCTTTCTCTCTCTCTCTCTCTCTCAGTCTTCTCTCTTTCTCTATCTCTGTTTCTGAATCTGAATCTGTTATTCTGTCTCTCCTTCCCGTTGTCTTTGGATGTCTCTTCCTCTATCTCTCTCGTCCGTCCTCTCTCTCTCTCTCTCTCGTTCTCTCTCTCGTTCTTTTTCGTTCTCTTTCGTTCTCACCCTCCATCCCTCTTTCTCTCTCTCTGCTTTTCCTTCCGCCTTCCAGTGTCCTTTCTATTTTTTTTCCACTTCCCCTTCCTGTGTCTCCTCTCTCCCTTTCCGCTCTCTCTCTATTCTCTGGTCCATTGTCGCCCACTTCCTACTTCCTCTACAGCGCCCTTAATCTTCTTCCTTGTTCCCCTTATCCCCTTTACATCACCCCTGCCCTTTGCCTTCTTCTTTCTTCCCCTTTCGCTCCCCTCTTCCCCTATCCCTTTACACTGCCCCTGTCCCTTGCCTTCTCCTCTCCCCCCCTATTCCCTTTACATCACCCCTTCCCCTAGTCTTTTCCTCTCCCCCCTATTCCCTTTACTTTGCCCCTGTCCCTTGCCTTCTCCTCTCTCCTCCTATCCCTTTACATCACCCCTTCCCCGTCTTTTCCTCTCTTCTCCTATGCCTCTACATCATCCCTGCCCCTTGCCTTCTCCTCTCTCCCCCTATCCCCTTTACTTTGCCCCTACCCCTTGCCTTCTCCTCTCCCCCTATCCCTTTATATTGCCCCTGTCCCCTGCCTTCCTCTCTCCCCCAATTCCTTTACATTGCCCCTTCCCCTAGTCTTTTCCTCTCTTCCCATTTCGCTTTACACTGCCCCTGCCCCTTGCCTTCTCCTCTCTCTCCCTATCCTTTACACTGCCCCTGTCCCTTGCCTTCCTCTCTTCCCCTATTCCATTTACATCACCCCTTCCCCTAGTCTTTTCCTCTCTTCTCCAATTCCTTTACATTGCCCCTCCCTCTTGCCTTCTCCTCTCTCTCTCCCTATCCTTTTACATCACCCCTTCCCCTAGTCTTTTCCTCTCTTCTCCTATGCCTTTACATCACCCCTGCCTCTTGCCTATTCCTCTCCCCCTATTCCCTTTACATTGTCCCTGCCCCTTGCCTTCTCCTCTCTCTCAATCCCTCTACATCCCCTTGCCCCTTGCTTTCCTCTCCCCCCCCAATTCCTTTACATCACCCTACCCCTTGCCTTCCCTTGACATCACCCCTGCCCCTTGCCTTCTTATTTACATCTACCCCTGCCCTTCCTCTTCCCTCTATCCCCTAATCCTCCCTTCCCCCCCCCCCCCAACCCTTACCCCGACCTCTCTCCTGACCGCCCGTCCCCTGCTGACTCGACCGCTGACATCACTTGCTCTGACTTTTAACGTGTTCTAAAGAAATTGGTTTGGGAGGGGAGGGGGAAGGGGGGAAAAGGGGGGAGGGAGGAGGGAGGGAGGGGTGTGGGGGGAAGGGAGGAGGAGGAGGGAGGGGTGTGGGGGGGAAGGGAGGAGGGAGGAGGGAAGGGTGTGGGGGGTAGGGAGGAGGAGGAGGGAGGGGTGTGGGGGGGGAAAGGAGGAGGGAGGGGTGTGGGGGGAAGGGAGGAGGGAGGGGTGTGGGGGGAAGGGAGGAGGGAGGGGGTATGGGAAGGGTGTGTGGAGGAAGGGAGGAGGGAGGGAGGGATGTATGGGGGGGAAAGGGAGAGGAAGAAGGGATAGTGAGGGAGAAAAAGGGGGGGGGGGGAGGAAAGAGAGGGGTGTGTGGGGCAGGGAGGGAGAGAAGAGAGGGTGAGAAGGAAAGTTGAGAAAGGAAGGGGGGTGAGGGAGAAGGGAAAGGAGAGGGGGGAGAAATTTTCTATCTTTGCATCTCTTTAATCATTTCATTAATTCATCCATTTATCTATTTTCTATTTATTTAATTACCATCCATCTTTACTTATTTACTTGCTTATTTGTTCATCTATTTATTATTTCCATTTTCGTTCATTATCATATATATATCTATATCTATCTATCTATCTATCTACCTATCTATCAATCTCTATCTATTTATCTATCTATCTATCTCTATCTATCTATCTATAATCTTAAAGGGAATATTACTGTGTTCTTGTCGAGTTTTGTTTTATCCTTAAACATCGAAACTTCAAAACAATTTTCTTTCATTCTTTCCTTTTTCTTAATTAGTCACCAAGCACTTCTAGAAACCATGCATACAACTCAACATTATTCTAACTTTCATTATCATATCTAATTACTCATCCCCCCCCACTCTGCCTACCCCTCCCTTCCCCCCCCTGCCGCGCGCAATTACCAGATTACGTAACTACTTAAAACAGCCATGAATATTAATCCAACTACTTAACAGGTAATGGAAAAAAGGAAGGAAAAGAGAGCGGGGAGGGGGAGGGGAGGAGGGAGAGGGGGAGAGAGAAAATGGGAGAGAAGGGGAGGGAGGGAGGGAGGGAGGGAGAGAAAGAGAGAGAGAGGGAGGGGGGGAAGGGGAGAGAGAAAATGGGAGAGAAGGGGAGGGAGGGAGGGAGGGAGGGAGGGAGGGAGAGAAAGAGAGAGAGAGGGAGGGGGGGGGAAAGGGAGAGAGAAAATGGGAGGGAGGGAGGGAGGGAGAGAGAAACACACGGTAACTGTTACCGAGAGCGACGCCCCCTCTCAGATCTTGGGGGATGCGTGGGGAGCCGGGCGTTGAAGGGGGGGGGGGGGATAATGGATGGCACTGGATGTCAACAGGAACCTGCAGATATCGAAGAAAGTGATTTAAGAAACGTTAAAGAGTCGATTTTTCGAAAACCCGAACCAAATCTCTGTCCCGAAAAGCACAAAAAACGATGGAAATCGCCCTGTGAAACTCTACGGACGTCCCCGCCATCTTTGAAAGTCTACGGACCGACGCGCCAATTTTCAATAAAATCTACGGGAATCAAACCCAGCCTGCGCTAAAAATATACGGGATTTCACATAATCCAGATCCCGTGGTAATCGTACAATGCGTCCTAACCAATAAACCAACCTAACCTAACCCTGGGGGATTTATACACTACGATCTATTTATTCCCTAGCCAGGGGGCTCTGCCCCCTGGACCCCCTAGTAATATATAAACCTAACCTAGCCTAAACTAATTATATGCGCCTAGCCAGGGTTATTGTGCAAAATAGTGTAAATAGTTACCAAAACACGTAAAAAAAGTATAATAAAAGTAAAAGAATTCATTAAATGCATGAATTCGGAAAAAAAAGACACTGGTAATTACAAAATCGGTTTCACAAGCGCGTAGTAATACATGGACTACTTGATAGATGCAATAATGAGTTACGTGTCACATTTGTTTTGGTCCTGGCAAGGTAAACATGGATGAGAGCGGTGCCATGCAGAGCCTATTTTTGTTATTTCGCGGTAAATATGAGGCCGCTGCAGATTTAGATGTATTCATTCCTACTCTATTTTTGATGCTCTGCAAGATGGCAATGTTCATTTTGCTCTATCTGCGTGTGTCGGTCTCGGTAACATTAACCGTTTTCTTACTCTATCAACCCATTGCCACCGGGGATGGCATGTACGTACATGCCATGCCCACTGTGAGTCGACTTGTTCGATTGTTTTTGCATCCAATGAGCCAATTACAGTACTGCCTGTCTCGCCCGTTCACCCTTTTCATCAATTTACGAAAATATTTAACGTTATCCTAATTTGCTTTTAAAAATAACACCATCTATATCTATAGCACTAGTAAAAATACGTTTTTTTCCCGCCAATTCAAGGAAAGGTGAAATCAGGACTAGCAGAGCCATCTATGGACAGAGATATTTCACTAAAATATTTTTAAAAATGAGTACAGCATTTTCCCCATTTTTTGTTCATTTTCCCCGGCGGCAATGGGTTAAAGATAACTATAGAAATGGAAACTTGATTTAATTTTCACAGAATGCCCCGTTAGTAAACCTGAAATACGAAAGAAAAATGAAACATTTTAATTGGCCATTGGTAATATTACGGATGGGCGGCACCGTACTCTCATGTCTATCTTCTTGTGCTCGTTTTCCTGACATCCATCTGATCCTTTTTCTTTCTTCTCATTCTCCATTTTCTGTAGGCTCAGCAGACAGCATTCTGAAAGGACGAAGAGGATTATACGTAGAGACATCCGCAATAGGAAATACCACATCCATCCTAGGAATATATGAAATGGAAAATGGGGAATGACCTACCTATGACCTACATTACCTAAACATGGAATGATTTAACCCATTGATATAATAAAATATATACACCCAGATGCTATAACGATTAAACCACCATCCCCTTAAAGACCTCCTACCTGTTTAGGAGGGAATGACCTACCTATGACCATCATTACCTAAACATGAAATGATTTAACCTATTGATATAATAAAATATATACACCCAGACGCTATAACGATTAAACCCCCATTCCCTTAAAGACCTCCTACCTGTGTGCTGGGAACAGTTGAAAACCTATTCATCACTCGCGACACAATAGAAGCACTCGGTAGCCTTTATCCCACTGAGCCATAAGCACACAGATTAATACTTCCCCCCCTACTCCCTTAAAGTTCGCAGCCTGCTACAGGCATTACCAATACACAATACATTCGAGAGAACGCAGCCTTCTACAGGCGTTACCAATACACAATACATTCGAGAGAACGCAGCCTTCTACAGGCGTTACCAATACACAATACATTCGAGAGAACGCAGCCTTCTACAGGCGTTACCAATACACAATACATTCGAGAGAACGCAGCCTTCTACAGGCGTTACCAATACACAATACATTCGAGAGAACGCAGCCTGCTACAGGCGTTACCAACATGTATTGTACACCTCAGAGAACGCAGCCTTCTACAGGCGTTACCAATATGTATCAATTTAACCCATGAATATAATAAAATATATACACCCAGACGCTCTAACGATTAAACCACCATTCCCTTAAAGACCTTCTACCTTCCCTTAAAGACCTCCTACCTGTGTGCTGGGAACAGTTGAAAACCTATTCACTCGCGACACCAGAGGGCCTCGGTAGCCTTTAGCCCACTGAGCCATAAGCACACAGATTAATACTTCCCCCCCTACTCCCTTAAAGAACGCAGCCTGCTACAGGCGTTACCAATACGCATAATACATCCTAGAGAACGCAGCCTTCTACAGGCTTTACCAATATGTATTATACACCTCAGAGAACGCAGCCTGCTACAGGCGTTACCAATACGCATAACACATTCTCGAGAATGCTGCCTGCTACAGGCGTTACAAATGGAGGCCTAATACCACTAATACCACCCCAACATGTCAGGCATATAAAGGAGCATGGAGGGAGAGGAGGAGAGAGGTGTGGCGGCAAGCTTAAGCAGAGCAAAGATATCAGATCCCCAAAAGGAGTTCTAGTTTCAGCAACCCCTTCTACCGCCTAGATTGTGGCACCCAAAGGCTTACGAGGTGAACCCCACATGTGCTGGCACTACTTGCAAGCACCTTGTGCGAGACGAGCGGAGACACTCCTCAACCCTGGCAGATATCCATCAAGCTTCCAGAGGGACGAGGCTCCCTTAGGTGCGCCAAAGGCACCACTACCCGCACTCACGCATTGCGAGACGAACGTAATGTCCCTCACGAGGAGCGGGCGGAGACGCTCCTCGACCGTGTCAGATATCCGTCAAGCTGCGCAGAGCCATGGTTCCCTTAGCCGCACGGGACTTAACCCACCTGTATTGCCACGTCCTACACCCACGCATGGTGAGGTGCAGGCGGAGACACACCACACCCTGGGCAAGTGTCCATGAGCCGCCAAGGTCAGCCCATCCCCAGGTGAACCCTTCAACCAACGCCCGCATCTGCGCTACCCATCAAGCCACGGAGTAGTAGTAGTAGTAGTAGTAGTAGTAGTAGTAGTAGTAGTAGTAGTAGTAGTAGTAGTAGTAGCAGCAGCAGCAGCAGCAGTAGTAGGAGGAGGAGGAGAAAAGGATGGACACAGTACGCCAATACAGAATTACTCACCTAATAAATCCTGGGCGAGAATGTAGCAGCAACTGTAAAACAAGAAAAAAGGATGGCGTTAAATAGTGGCACCCTAGGAGGAGGATAATCAACCTACCCCATGAATACTGAAAATAATGAATGCAAAAAGAGAGACATCCTTCAGAACGAAAGCTGACAAGTAACAGATATGGAAAGCCCTTTTCAAGATTCAAGAGACAGCAATCAGTTTGTTTATATGAGGGTAATATAGAAAACTATAAATAGTAAATGAATACACAAAGAAAAAAAATGAGTTTTTATTTATTTCATATTTGCTATTACTAAATCAACACGAAGTATCAGTTTGATTACAGAAAACTTGAATGATAAGATCTTTTAACTGAATTTGAACAATGTTGCCAATGTAACCTCAATCATTCGACCGGATTAAATCTTTTGAAATAACCGGGTTATATGGCGCCTTGCTTATCTTCCAGTAATTTATATAATATGCATACCGAAATCTGAACAATGTTCTGGTTCTGTAAGCAAATGCACAGCTACCTGCACTTCTCCCTAGTACACCCCATTTCCGGTGAAGAGTAGTAATTTGCATTGTTTAAATAACACTCCTAACCTACGGCTTGAATGGTCTGTAACAAACCTCAGAAACATTAGTTCAACGAATAGGGATTCCCCTCTTATTCATGAATGCTGTAACAATGTCTATGTCAAGAAATAACGCTGAGCTACATAAGCAATAATCTAATGTTATACTTTATGGGCAGCTGGAGACTGTTCCTGAGGCTAACAGGATATGGCCGGTGAGGACTGGTGTTTGAAATTTCAGTAAACGTCATATACTTTGAAACGAGTTACAAAAAGGGGTTAATTTTCCAAAAATGACAATCGGTCTTCCCTGACAATGTTTATATAATCAAATTTGTTCTCGTGTGATGAGAACGAATCTGATGATATTCTCCGTCGCATTCTCCAGCCGACAATCTTGATGTGATTTGATAAGTCCCAATAGCAGGGGAGGGCATGAAGTAGATCAGGGAAATTACGGGGTAAAACAGGCTGGAATAAGCAAAATAGAGAGCAGAAATCTGTAAAACAAGCACAAAAAACGCTTAAAATCGGCTAATGAAACTCTACGCCAACTTTCGAAAAACTCTACGGGAACCAAACCCACCGTTCGGTAAAAATCTATGGGATTTCAGATAATCTAGATTCCCTGTGGTAATCGTACAATGTGTCCTAACCAATAAACCAACCTAACCTAACCTAACTAACCTAACCCTGTGGGATTTATACACTACGATCTAAATATTCCCTAGGTATTAAATGTGCCTAGCAAGGGGGCTACGCCCCCTGGACCCCCATGTTAATGTATACGTCT